GTGCTCAGTTTATCTTTAGTTCTCCATTATTAATAATGATCAATGATAATCATCTATGTGAAAACACTGATCACGTTACGAGAAACACAGATCAATATTCAGCACTTTGACTTTACTCAGCTCAGGAATTCTTACATTTTTAAGTAGAGCGTTAGAAATAATCATCAGTGTTTCTCTGAGTGTGTTTATGTGCACATCACTATCCCGATCACAAACGCACAAGTGCAAAATTGATCTATTTAATAAAGCAGGAAAAACCCAAACAGCAGGAGCTCGTTTAGCGTCGGAAGCTCGGGAGGTTCTGACCAGCGTGAGGAGCTCTGAGGTAAAATCCCACAATCCTCTGCACAGATCCACGTTTCCAAACACGATCGTACGAGTTCTACTGCAGCAGATTCTTCATTCAAATCTTCTGCTGAAATAAACTCAACTTTACACCTTATAAACCATAAACACTCTCGAGCCACATCAGGCCGTTTGAGATCAGAACCTTTTTAAAGAAGCTTTGACACATTTGTTTACGTTTTACACAAACAAAACTTAAAAACACATGGCTCATTTGCATAAAGTGAAAGTGTTAAAACAAAACGGCTCGATCATCTGAATGGTTTATCTAAACTTCATGTAAAATGAACAGATTTTTAAGATATTGTCATTTTTAAATCTATAAAAATCCAAAGGTGATTTAAAAAATAATCAGAAACAGAATAAAATTTTATTTTAGATGCAGCTCACTAATGAGTTGTGCTATTTTCAGAACGGGCGTGCGGGCGACTCACGTGGTCTTTGTGGGCGACCGTGTTGGTGACCCCTGCCGTAGACAGTATGGACATAGCTGAGCCACCATGTTCCAATTCCCATCGACTTCCACTGGAATATTGTCGTCCCTCTCCCTGCAGCTGCTACACTGAGCTTTGTCATTTTGGTTTTAAAATGTTGGTACTGACCCGCTCTACGTGAACCTGCTGTTTTTATTTTACTATTTTGTCTGTGAAAAATTCCTATTCCTAATATAGAGTCTGGCTCTAAATCTGCTCTTCTAACCGTTGGCCTCAATGAGCTTCATTTGACTGGAGCTGAACACTGTGGGTGACGTCTCACTCCCTCAGTCCACTTCTTTGTACAGTGTCTGGTCTGAACACACAGCAGTGAGTCAGTGGGATTCTCACTGTGCTACAATTCTATTTCAGACAGAAGTTTACAAGAGTCTGTTGCTCTTTACAGTCCAAAATTCAAATACTCAGCTCTGATTGTGTCTTTTACAGTTTTCCTTTAACGCTTCCTCTAATAAGACCTCTATGTGTACACTTGGCTATTTCGACCCTGACGTCCAGAACATCTGCCTCCACGTAACCACAGCGACTGATGTGGATACAGTCGAAATGGAGAATTACACATCTTCATCCACAGACTCCTTCACTGCTCCCAGCGGAGTCACAGTCACAGGATCATACTCGTGCTACCTGTCCATTTACTACTACAAAAATACAACCAACAAGGTAAGAAAGATGAAGAGTTAGAGGAGGGGGAAGAGGAGAGGAGGGGAGGAGGGGTAGAGGAGGATGTGAGACTAAAGTCTTTCTCTCTTTCTGCAGGTGTCTTTTTATCTGGAATCATACGACCCTCCCTTTGGAATGGTGTATATCACCCAAGATGAACCAGCAGTAAGTCTCACTTCACCTTTTCTTTTCTTTAAGTTTGCCTCTGGTGTCCTCCTCCTCTCCTCCTCCTCCTCTCCCCTCCTCCTCCTCCTCCTCCTCCTCTCTCCCCTCCTCCTCTCCCCTCCTCCTCCTCTCCCTCCTCTCTCCTCCTCCTCCTCCTCCTCCTCCTCCTCCTCCTCCTCCTCTCTCCTCCTCCTCCTCTCTCCTCCTCCTCCTCCTCCCTCCCCTCCTCCTCTCCCCTCCTCCCTCCCCTCTCCTCCTCCCCTCCTCCTCTCCTCCCTCCTCTCCCTCCTCCCTCCCCCTCCTCCTCTCCCCTCCTCCTCTCCCCCCTCCTCCTCCTCTCTCCTCCTCCTCTCCCCTCCTCCTCTCTCCCTCCTCTCTCCTCCTCCTCCTCCCCTCCTCCTCCTCTCTCCTCCTCTCCCCCCTCCTCCTCTCCCCCTCCTCTCCCCTCCTCTCCCCCTCCTCCTCTCCCCTCCTCCTCTCCCCCCTCCTCCTCCCCTCCTCCTCTCTCTCCCCTCCTCCTCTCCCCTCCTCCTCTCTCCCCTCCTCCTCTCCCCTCCTCCTCTCCTCCCTCCCTCTCCTCTCTCCCTCTCCTCTCTCCCCTCCTCCCTCTCCCCTCCCTCCTCCTCCTCCTCTCTCCCCTCCTCCTCTCCCCCCCTCCTCCTCCTCCTCCTCCTCCTCTCTCCTCCTCTCCTCTCTCCCCTCCCCTCCCCCTCCTCCTCCTCCTCCTCTCCTCCTCTCTCCTCCTCCTCTCCCCTCCCTCCCCTCCTCCCCTCCTCCTCCTCCTCCTCCTCCTCCTCCTCTCTCCTCCTCCTCCTCTCCTCCTCCTCCTCCTCCTCCTCCTCCTCCTCCTCCTCTCCCCTCCTCCTCTCTCCTCCTCCTCCTCTCCTCCTCCTCCTCCCTCTCCCTCCTCTCTCCTCCTCCTCCTCTCTCCTCCTCCTCCTCTCCCCTCCTCCTCTCTCCTCCTCCTCCCCTCTCCTCCTCCTCCTCCTCTCTCCCCTCTCTCTCCTCCTCTCTCCTCCTCTCTCCCCTCCTCCTCCTCCCTCCTCCTCCTCTCCCCTCCTCCTCTCTCCTCCTCCTCCTCTCCTCCTCCTCCTCCTCCTCCTCCTCCTCCTCTCCTCCTCCTCCTCTCCTCCTCTCTTCCCTCTCTCTCCTCCTCTCCTCCTCTCTCCTCCTCCCCTCTCCTCCTCCTCCTCTCCTCCTCCTCCCTCTCCCCTCCTCCTCTCTCCCCTCCTCCTCTCTCCTCCTCTCCTCCTCCTCCTCCTCCTCCCTCCCCTCCTCCTCCTCTCTCCTCTCTTCCTCTCTCCTCTCCTCCTCCTCTCTTCCCCTCCTCCTCTTCCCCTCCTCCTCTTCCTCTTCCCCTCCTCCTCCTCTCCTCCTCTCTTCCTCTCTTCTCCTCCTCCTCTCTTCCCCTCTTCCTCTCTCCTTTCCTTTCTCCTCCTCTCTTCTCTCCTTTCTTCTCTTCATGTAACTTGTACATGTTTCTTCAGCTCTTCAAGATGCAAATCGGCGACATTTCTTATTATGAAAAATCAACTAATGGAGACAGTTTGGTGATACTTGGATGCACAGGTGAGTTTTCCAGAAACACCTTCAACAGCTCCTGTTAGTGGAACCTTCAGATTCATATGACAGGTTAGACTTCTGTCACCAGCACACACTAAACGTACATTTAACAAAAACGTGAACTATTTACAAGAACAGTACAGATAATACACGATACATCCTGCATTAAGCCGACCTCCTGTTACAGCTGTTTCCTCTGCTCACTGACCGTCTCAAACTTCTGCATGTTTGAGCAATCTTCAATCATCAAGACGCCATATTGTCCATCAACCCCCATTTTCTCCAGCGTCAGCACACGCCCACGGCTCTGTACTTCTGTTTGCACGGTGTATTTTCTTAATCGGTCACATGTGCAGGATCGGCAGTGTCGCAGTTTTTCTCATGTGGAAGTCAGTCAACTTGTTTCTTTTATGAAGTCATTTTTAAGTCTAGAGCAGACACAAGTAGAGCATGTGCTCTTTAAAGCGTAGATGGCAGGTTAGACCACTCATTTCACTAACACATTGTTTACATCGTTATATAAATTAAAATATCCTTATAATCTGACTCCTGGTTGGACACGAGCAGCAGATGTGACATATGTAGAGGTAATTCCATAAACATCACGTAGCAACCATCAAGTAAAAAAGCTCCAAAACGTGTCACATAATGAGGATTAAAATAATGAAAAGAAATGACAGCATTTTATTTTGTTAAATGAAGGTTTGTCACTCTCAGATGTGTTCCTTCCTGCATTTTGGATGGAATTTTCTCTTTCTTTTTATCCACAAACTGCCACTTAACTGATATAAAACTAAGATACTTACAGAGCACAGGCTCAAAATCCCACCTGACCAAGTCTTAATTAGAAGAAGAAAACCTGTCCCGTGCACTTTACAGACTAAATGAATAAATGAATAAAAGTGCAGTAACAGTTGTTCTCCTCCTGGGAGTTTACAGGAACTGCAGGAAAAACAGATACTGCCCTAGTCCAACTTAAAGGGTCCATATTACACAGTTTTTTTTATCTATGTTCTAATGTCGTTTCCTCATCACACACAGAGCTGGAGTTGTGTTTTGTTTCATTCACACATGTTTGACACACAAACCCTGCACATTTAGGCTGAGTTCTTCCCTCAAACTGAAAAAAAAATACTAACCCAGACTCTTCACTAGAATCATTTGGATCATTTTAGACCTGGAATTGTTCATCTCCGAACTAAAGGTAAAAGGATTTGTTAACTGGAAAACTACCACTTCATGACATCACAAGGTGGAACAGAGTATTTTGAGCTTTGGAGATGTGGACAGACTCATAGTAAAGATTTACTCAAACCTGTGAATGAAACAAACACGACTCCAGATCTGATTGTGACGAGGAAACATTAAAACATGACTCAAAATCCCAATAACACAACTGGAGGAGCCAACACATTCTCAGATCCTACAGTGTGTAACAGTGTGTGTGACAGTGTGTAACAGTGTGTGTGACAGTGTGTGTGACAGTGTGTGTGACAGTGTGTGACAGTGTGTGTAACAGTGTGTGACAGTGTGTGACAGTATGTGACAGTATGTGACAGTGTGTAACAGTGTGTGTAACAGTGTGTGACAGTGTGTGACAGTGTGTGTGACAGTGTGTGACAGTGTGTAACAGTGTGTGACAGTGTGTGACAGTGTGTAACAGTGTGTGACAGTATGTGACAGTGTGTGACAGTGTGTGACAGTGTGTGTGACAGTGTGTGACAGTGTGTAACAGTGTGTGACAGTATGTGACAGTATGTGACAGTGTGTGAC